TAAATAGCAATTGTATAATACGTACCTCAGGATTGTCGAGGAGAGCCGATAACTGTCTGGCAAGGGGCTTGTCTTGTGCTCACCAGTGATGCTTCCGAGGATAGCGTGTCTCTCCTTTCCTCACATACCGACTGGCCAAGATGGGAACAGTCTCGTACACCCATATCTGAAACAATTACAATTATTATGTATAGAATTCAATAAAAAAAGTGTAGGTAATTCATTAATTTAAACATATACCTGCAGCGCCAACGACAGTCCATATGCATCGTACTTGCGCTCGGGCTTATCCCCTTTTGGCATTGAAAACCCCTCCTAAACACGCGTAATGTATCAAGAAAACATCTCCAACCCCATGGGTAGTTGTTGAAGGCATCAATATCATCAACAACTTCTAAATGAAAAATGTCAATCGACGTTTTCTTGTGATGACACCGTAGTATGCTCTCGATGATAAGTACCAAGCCCAACTTCAGCCTATCAAACATCTGATCACATCTCCTTAATGCATCTCCTAATTGAGCTAGAGTAACCGTCGCCTGTCCATGAAAATATTCATTCAATAGCCTCCTGTTCCTCGGAACACAGGCCCTCGCCTCTGCATCGTCCGCACATCGCAGTCAGTGACGAGGACAAACTCAAATATGGAGAACGTGGCTACCTTGCCCCCAAGATCAAAATGGAGGGCGTCTCCGTCAACTGGCTTCAGCAAGCGACATAACAGGGCATCGAGCAGTTGCCCAGACCACTGTACATCACGCAACGAATACAATGACATTAAGCATGATCGACGTAATATATCTGCGTGATCGTCATCTAGCAAATCTAATACCAAAGCGAAGCTAGTAAAGTTACAATTCGACGTAACTTTACCAGGGATCTGTCTGACAACGTCGTCCAGATGATATTCCATCCTGCAAAATTTCAAATATTAGAACCCTATGCAAATGATGTTCGATAAACAAAAATATTAAAAAAATATACTAACACACTGCTACTAGATGCAATAACCAACCGATAACG